ATTTAAGGGACCGACTCAGAGGACTATTAGGCGTGCCTGGGACTTTATTATCACTAGAAAACACAGCTGGTTCCATATGGGTCAGAGCCACTGCAGGGATTTTCAGGTACTGTTTATGCTTATCTATACCTTGGAAACTATGGCAACTTGAGATCTGCCCCAGGTCTTTTATTTAATTTTTTTTTTTTTTTAAAAAAGAACATATGTTCCTTTTTTTTTTTTTTTTTTTTTTCAATAGTTTTTTGACACAGAATCTCACTATATAATTCAGGCTGGACTTGAACTCCCTATGGAACCCAGGCTGACCTTGAACTCACAGCGATCCTCCTGCCTCAGCCTCCTGAGTGCTGGGATTACTGGCATGCATCACCACACCCGGTTTTAAAAAAAGAGAATATATACTATATTCCTAAATCATAAATATAAGAAAATATTTTGGGGTGGGGGTATAACTCAGTGGTAGAACACTTGCCTAGCATGTTTGAGGTCCTAGCACCACACACTCACACAATCTGTTTTGGTAACTATTTCGATACTCATTGTAATAGATTTCCTTTGTAATCCTATACATTTTACTGAATGCACTTTGGAAACAGCACACTGAAAACAGGTGATAGTCTTTAGGTGCCAGAGGGGCTCATCACACACGTAAGCAAAGACACACTGAAAGAAGTGTCTTGAGCTGGGCGTGTACTCCCAGCATTTGGTAGGGCGAGGCAAGAGGACTGCCCAGAATTTGAGGCTGGTATGGACTGCATAATGACTTAAAGGCCAGTATGAACTGCGTAGTGAGATAAAAAGTCATTCGGGTGTAGTGGCGCACACTTGTAATTCCAGCATTCAGGAGGCTGATGCAGGAGGATCGCCGCAGGTTCGAGGCCAGCCCAGGATACATAATGAGTCCAGGCCAGACTGAACGGCAAAGCAAGACCTCGTGTCCAAAAAAAAAAAAAAAATTGAAAGAGCTGATGGGGCTTAGCTGGCCTCTGGGAAAGGCCAGAGCGAGGAGCCCAGAGGAGCAGCAAGAACGAGATTTCCAGCCAGCCCCGGACCTGAACTTCAACTCCACCCGCCCTCTGTCTTGTTTATGAACTCATGGCCTCCACAGCAGCTTGGAGCCGGAGCCTGGTACCGAGCACAGCGAGCCCTCCATTCGGAAGCTGCTTCTCAGACCAAAGCTCACACTCCGCGCTCCTGTACTCCCACTGGGCCCTAAGCTTAAAACCCTCTCAGAAACGCCCTTCCAGGCTGAAGTAGGACACGCTCTAGCTGGGAGTCGGCGACGAGATATGAGAAGAAGAAAATAACATTTCTTTCTTTTTTTTTTTTTTTCATTTCATTTCTTTTTATAAATACCCGCTTAATTGTCAAAGACGGTGTCCATCTGAAGCCACAGCTTGTGCTGCCTGAGGAGGACGCCCATTTCGGAGCCTCGTTCTTGCAAGCCCGGCTTGCACTTGTGCAGCAGCAAACGCCAGCGGCGTGCGGGGCGCTTCCCCCGAGAGCGGCCCCTCATTGCAGCCTGCGAGTGGGAGCCCGGCGGCGAGCATCGGGCTCGGCGGTGTGTTGGGAGTCTCAGCCCGGGACTCATCGCCTCTCCGGTGGGCTCCCTTAACGTCTCTAATTTGGGAGCAGAGCAGAAGAGCTGATGAACTGCCCTCTCGTCCCCCGCCGCCAGTCACTTGGAGTCCTGCGCCCCAGCACAGGAAGTTACAGGCCACGCGCTCCGGACCTCTGGGGAGGCTCGCTGCTGTGCTGCTCACAGTGAGGGCTTTCCCCGGCCACTCGGGAGGCGGGATTGAGCGCGGAGACCACAATGGGCTCAGAGACTCACTTTTATTAGGATTATTCGTCAAAGAGAAACCACACACAGAGGGCAAGGAGGAAATGCTAAGGAGCAGAGATGTTGCTGCTAGGTCCAAGTTTCTGAGGGGAGGCAGACATGGCTGTGCAGTTCCAGGAAGTGTGACCGGCGTTCCCCTGGCCAGGGGGATTAGGGTGGAGCTCAGGCGCAGGAGGGAGCCTGATTTTCCCTTACACATCCTTTTACACCATTTGAGTTCTGGACTAAGTATATATATTACTGATTTAAAATGATTTCTCACAGTCACGTATGTTAAAAGACAACATGAAGGGGCTGGGGATTTAGCTCAGCGGCAAAAGCGCCTGCCTGGCAAGCGCAAGGTCGTGAGTTCGGTTCCCAGTACCGGAGAAAAACCAAAAAAAAAAGACAACATGAAAGTAGCAGGTGGCTAATAAATACAGGTTAGATTTAAGCCACTATGCCATTTCTGGAACTAGCATTCAGAGACTGTAGTGGCTATGATATGCCAAGGGCCCTTTGATGATCCCTGCTCTACAGAAAGTAGCAAATGGAGGCTCAGCTAGGAGGGAGGCAGGAGCTCTTCCCAGGGCTGCTGGAAGCCAGAGCCCTGCTCCACGGCAGGGACCACCCCGCCTTCCTCCCTGGAGCGTGCAGTTGGAGGCACCAGCTGCTCTGGCAGGATTCAGAGAGATGCCATCTGCGAGGGAAACCTATTCTTAGAGAGCAGAGACACTCGGCAGTGGAACCAGCCAAGCCTAGCAGCAGTGGAGGGCCTTTGGGAAGGCAGGCGGCCAAGGCTTTACCTTCAGCTGTGGGGTCGGACAGGCTAAGAGCAGGGCGTGCCCAGTTCCCAAGAGCAATGCCACAAATAACAGCGACATTTGACTGCTCACTCTATGTGCTGTAGTGCTTAACCCTCCAGCTCCCGTGAGGCATGCACTATTACAACACCTGTTTTACAAATGAGTAAGCGGAGGCACAAAACAGGTAAGTCACCTGTCTAAGGAAACAGAGGGGCCAGGCCTTGAGCCCAAGCACTCCAGTTCCAAAGCCCATGGCCCTAACTACCCCGTGACACAGCCTCTCCTCCTGCTCAAGCAGAAACCGATTTTAGTTCCGATTCTCTCAACAGCAGATGCGAAAAGCAGGATTTCAGTGCAAGTGGTTTATGTGATTAGTGGTCCCAGGAGGCACCGGCAGGCAGTGAGGCGGGGAGAACAGGGAGGGCGTGTTCTCAGCAGTCCCCACCGTGGGCAGGAGCTCAGCCCCACTGAGCAGAGGACCTTGGGGTCCTGGGCTGAGGGCTGCTCCAAGAGGCGAGTTAATCCCCCAGCACCTCAGACCTGCTGCAGGGTGGCAAAGCAGCCACCAGGGGCAAGTGGAGTCCTCAGGCAGGAAGGCACAGGGGGGGCCGCTGGAGAAGATGCCGGGGTGCACAGAGTGGCCAATTAGAGGGCACAGAGGCCGGGTACATTAGACAGGTGATGGGCAACCTCTGCCCTCCCTATATCCTCCAGAGAGAGTAAAAGGATCTCCAAAGTCACCTGCTCCAAGTTTGTAGTAAACTGTTGTGACTGAGAGCGCTGCTGCTAAGTCAGACGCAATCCCACCCCAACCACCCACAGCTCCGGACACGGACACGCTGGTCACAGGGAAAACAATGGTCACCCCGTCTCGTTCCTCAGGCAGGGACTCATCTGGGTGCGGCCGGCCCGGAGGAAGCCGCTTGGGCCCCACTTCAGGCCCTCTGGGTCAGAATCTGCATTTTAATCAGTGACTCCTGTGCACTTCTACTGCTAACTTCTCTGACAGAAAAAGAAATAGATGGGGTGAATTATACATATATGTATGTCCTGAGTTGCCCAGCCTGGTCTCAAACTTGTGATCCCCCTGTCTCAGCCAACGGCCGAGATTACAAGCACGCACCACTGCTTTTGGTTGCTACACCGCCCCCCCCGCCGGCATATATATATAAAAATATACATATACAATTAATTTGGGGGGGAGGTACTAGGGATCAAAGCTAGGGATGCTTCACCCTTGAATTACACCCCTGGTCTCCCCAGTCTTTTAGGAACAAATTTATTTTGAAACAGCAGCTTGCTAGTGGGCACAGGTGGGACTTGAACTTCTAAGCCTCCTGCCTCAGCTTCCCTGGGCTACATGTATTAACAGAAATATTCCTCCTAGACTGAAGCTCAGCTTGGTAGCCCATGGACCCATGACCCGTCCATCACAGTGGCTCCAGAACACCTGACTGCTGCACTGGCTGCAGTCGCCTGTGTCCTGTCACTCCCGCCTGCACAGTGCCCTGGCATTTCACTTCTGTCCCTGCAGGCTTTGGCCTTTGTGTCCCTCTCCAGGTCGGATCCTGTAAGGAGCTTACATTTGCACAGCAGGGGTTGGGTTTTAAAATCTAAAACAAGGCACTGAAAAAAACATGAGCTTTGAAATAAGACAGCTGGCTTCAAAAACTGATTTGGGTTCAAATACCTCCCTTTTCTCACCCTCACCCTCAGTTTCTGCGCCTTTAAATTGGGAATAAAAATAAAACAGGAATTCACACACACACTTTTGTACAGACATTGTACAGATTAAAAACAGTCTGTGCAGAGCACCCAGGAGGAAGTAGGACCTCACTAAGTTGGAGTAATTAGTAGTAGTGGCAGTAACTGTAGTTGTAAAAGTCCAATCTGGACACTAGTTACAATGATTATCCTCATTTTATGAGAAACTGAGGCTCTGAGGGGTCAAGACCTTCTCCAAGGTTACACAGGGACGGAATAGGGCCTCAAACTCACGTCCTCCAGCTCTAGGTCTGCCCAGTCCACTAGAACCTTCTGGAGGCGTAGAAATATATCTGTGTTGTTCAGCACAATAGCCCACTAGGCACACGTGGCTACTGGGCCCTGGACACCACGCTGGTTCTAATTACGGTATGCTGGAAGTGTAAATTATGCACCCAATTTTGAAGACTTAGTATAAAAAAATGAATGTAACTCATTAATTTTCTATGTTAATCACATGTTAAATAACAGTATTTTCAAAATATCCGGTTAAAAATATGTAATTAAGATTAATCTCATTTGTTTCTACTTTTTTCTTCCAGTGCTGGGAATGGAACCCAGGGTCCAGCACATGGTAGGCAAGTGCTCTATCATTGAGCTACACAGCCCCAGCCCTAGAAAAATTTTAATTGCACACGTGGCTCACGTTGTGTTTCTTTTAGACAGTGAGGTTTAGCACCTCTTCAGTACAACATACGAGACAAGCAACTTAATTTTCTTAAGCATTTGCAACCCACAGCCCACGAGCAAGGAGCCCCGTATTACCTAAGAACAGTGGAAGACCCAACACGCCCACTAGGAAGAGAACCTCCTCCAAGGTATTCCTCGAGCTCCGGGACCCGAGGCCCAGAGCAGCTGTGACTCGCCGTGGTCTCACCCAGTTTAGCAGCACAGCTGGATCCAAGCCCAAGACTCCTCAGGTGGATTCTGCCACTTTTTGTACCATTCAAAAGTACCTAGTGGGAACAGCAGTGCTTTTACTTTGGCAGCTGGAACCCTGAGCTGACTCAAGCTGGAGTGTGAGGCCCATGACTTGGGAGAAGGCAGGGTCCCCTGGGAGGGTGTGCGCAGGGAGCCAGACTTCCAGGCACAGCTGGACACTGCCCGGAGCCAGTCAGGGGAGGAGCCCCCAGAGGCACCCCAGGCCGCTTTACTTGGAAGGGCGGCTCTTGTTGTAGAGCAGGAAGTCCGAGAGGTCGTGCCACACGTTGCTGTCCTCGTAGAGGTAGGTCATGGAGGACTGCAGCGAGGGCTGCAGTGTGTGCCGGTGGTACTCGAAGAGCCACAGCACAATCCCCCAGATCACTCCGGTGTGCAGAGGGAACGGGTCCCACCTGGGCTCAGGAATGTAGCCCTTCTCCACGCCCAGGCGGCACAGGGCAAACAGGACGCGTGATGTCAGGTACATGTTGATCTGCAGGAGGGAATGACGGAGGTTACTGGGGACAAGGGCACTCGGAACCTTCCCCCTTCCCACACCTGGGGCCTCCCTGTGCACTTGTTGGGTGTTTTTCTTCTTTTTTTTTTCAGACAGGGTCTGACTGTGTAGTTCAGGCTGGCTTTGAACTCACTATGTAGCCCAGGCTGGCCTTGAACTCCAAGTGATCCTTCTGCCTCAGCCTACTGAGTGCTGGGATTACACGAGTGCACAACCACACCTGGCTTGGTTGGGTGTTTTTCCTTCCTTTTCTTGGTACCAGGAATCAAACTCATGACCTTGCGCTTGCCAGGCAGGCACTGTGCTGCTGAGCTATATCCCCGGCCTGGTTGAGTGTTTTTCAAAGTTCACATAAAACATGATTTGGGATGCTGGGCATGATGGCGCACGCCTATAATCCCAGCACTTGGGAGGCGGAGGCAGGGAGATAGTTGCAAGTTTGAGGCCAGCCTGGGCTACAAAGTGAGCTCAAGGCCAGCCTGAACTGCATAGCAAGACCCTGTCTCAAAAAAAACCGGCCAAAACAACAATAACAAAAAAAACCGCACCAAAAAAACCCAAAAAACAAAAAACCACACCATGATGTGGGGTGGTATGTAGTGACATTTTAATATTTCTATTTGCCTTTTATTTACCATTCTTTTGAATTAGAAAATTTAAAAAGAAATACATTTACATGGTTCAAAGCCACAAGGTAACTTCACACCAAAAAATGATCCATGAAAATAAAAATTAATAGATTGGATCTCTTTGAAACTAAAATTTTCCCACGCCTGTAATCCCAGCACTCAGGAGGCTGAGGCAGGAGGATCACTGCAAGTTTAAGACCAGCTTGGACTACAGAGTGAACTCAAGGCCAGCCTGAACTGCATAGCAAGACCTTATGTCAAAAAAAAAAAAAAAAAAAATGGTCTGGGGATTTAGCTCAGTGGCACAGCGCCTGCCTGGCAAGCACAAAGTCCTGAGTTCTAGTCCTGATATCCCCCCCCCGAAAATATCAGTAGTAAAAATAAACAAAAACAATCTAACTACAAAATGGGCAAAAGACATAAACATTTCACTAAAGTGGTAATACAGATGGCAAATAAACATATTAAAAGATGTCCAACATCGCCGGCCTCAGGGTTTCCCGGAAGGAGGGCTTCCGGCGCACAGGGAGCTGCGGGTGGGGAGTGCCAGCCTTCTGGCTGGCTAGCTTCCTGCCTGCTGGCTCCC